ACACACAGTAGTATGAAACTTCAACTGCGTGAAATACACAGCAGTATGAAAATTCGGCTGCGTGAAACACACAAACTTCACGCATGCGTGGAGTGTATGGAGTGTACGGGAGTGATTCACGCAATGGTGCGAATAGTCACGGCCAAAAAAAAAAAATATATATATATATATAAATAAAATGGCTGCTTTAGTTTATCATCTACGTCCCGACAGTACATGCAGGTTCCGTTGGGGTTACATTATATTATGCAGTCGGAAGAGGATGAAGTTCTCAATTCCCCGTCCCCTCCTTCCCTCTTCCTCTTCCCCTTCCCCTTCGTTTGGGTCTCGACGGACATATCCACGCCAGCAGCGTGGCTGGGGTGAGGTAGAATGAAATCCGGCAATAAAATTACTAACGAAATTTCCGCATATCCGCGGATCTTGTGATGTTCATCCCCCTACCAACGTCCGGGCGCTCAAAGAAGAATATAACATAAAGCATGTATGAATGAAAAAGCAGAAAAACGTACTCGAAGCATTAAAGGTAAAAATGAAAAATAGATGCTGTGCAACACATTTATTGAATATTCAGACGCTCTGACATGTGTTGTCATGAATTCTATTTCTCGTTTTCAAATATCACAAAATGGACGTAATTTTTCATGCATATGAATGTATGCACTTTCTTTGAGTTGGTTGGACAAATAAATCAATTGCTTTTTTTTTTTCATCCATTCTCCAATTACCTTCTTCTAATCATGCCTTTTCTGACTTTTTATCTAGATTCATTGGCAATATTAAAAGAGAGTATCATGATTTAAAAAGCAGAGGACAGATAAATTCCTGACATCTTGTATATTAAAAATGATGAAAGGAAAAAGATCGAGACATAGAACGTTCTGCTGAGGAACGTTCTGCTAAGGTATACATATATACGACCGTAGGCACTGTTTTAATTAAAATGCGACGCATTTGTCGTGGCGCCTTGTCGTGTACTCAGATAGAACAAAAAGAAAAGGGAAAACGTTACAAATATAGATATACTCTGAATGAAAGAATGGTTCGAGCAACGGCAATGATAGCATATTCAAGGGTCCTCAATTAATATGAGCAATGGGAAGGAAATTTTGGGATGATGAGATGATAAGAATTGGCTGAACCTTTTTCCATTATTCTTAACGCAGCGTCGATTTTCTGTGATCTAACGCTGCAAATGACTGGAGCAGAAGTCAATGCCTGTGCCTGAGGTGACTAATCAGCAATAACTCACGAGATACTGAAAGTTGAAGAAATTTGCGGTATATCCTCATCAATTTTTCATTAGACACTTGGCTCGACTTGCTGTTGAAACTTTTGGAGAGTCTTGTGGTGTGATAAATTATCGATTGGCACATGCAGCAGTACAGGATTGGAAGGGGTTTATTTGAATCTTCAATGGTGGAGTGGAAAGATTATTCTCCATTTAATGAAATTCCATGGAATCGTTGGCATGACGAGGCCCACACTTATCAATTCCCCATTATTTTCAGACTAGCTAGCTATTCTCATCAACATTTTTCCCCTCATTCTCCCACTCCTTGTGACCCTTCAAACCAACAATTTCCCTTGCTTTCAAATAGACTATCCTTGCCTGGTGGTCTCAGGTAGTGCGGAGATGTTGCCCGTTGGCGATTAATCATTGTAGCTTTGTCACCTCACTACGATCCATAACAAAAAATGTCGAGTTAGGACACCGAAAAACATAAAAAAAGTGGCGGATGCTATTCCATTATGTCAAGAGTGACCTGTCCCATAACCACAAAAAAACGGTGGTATTATGGTCTTTCTATGCCTGTGGAATCACCACGTGGATACTCACATGTCCACTTTCAATTAATTGCCAACCGTGGAAATAAATTTCCCTCGAGCCCCAGTAGTTGGTAAAAGAGTCTGGAAATTTAATGTTCCAACTCAACGAGTCGATCTAATTTTCTGCTCTTGGCCACCGTGCACGTTTTTAGGAGCCCGTTCGAGTTTCCATCCATTTTAGATCGAGTAAAAAATTGTATAATAATCTACGGTTTGAATCAGCATATAATGATTATAGACGTTCTACGTGCGCGACATTTCAAAAGAGCTAAAACTCAAACGCATTTTTTCACTATCGCTCAAATATTACATGAGATTGATTGATAATTAATGAAGAAGCCTGTATTTTATCCAGTCCAATAATATTCTGTCTGTTGCATTGGAAATTGTGCTGTATTTAACCGAATTTTTCCAATCGAGTTCTCAGCCTTGCACGGTCGCGCACGCTCTCACTGAATTCAGTAGAAAATGGTCGTTTATAGTCAGACAAGTAAGTACAAATGCAAAATGACTGGAGTCCAATAGATTATTTCTTGCAATCCCTTTCTTTTTTTTTTTTTTTCATTTAATCAATCATTTATGAAATGTAATTCACATTGGTACTTGTACAGGGTTTTCGGAGAATTCGTATCCATAAGTGAACCCTTGGGAAGTCAGTGACTCTGATTACCTTGTAGCCTCGGGTGAATTCTATATAGCATAGGACAGGGAACACAGAAGGGTTAGTAGGATGGTACACACTTATAACACCGAACAAAACAAACAAGTCAAAAGGAAGAGCCGAAATCACTTTGATATCCCTTTGCGCAACGCTCGGACATTTAGTCATTAACCTGTCTACCATCTGTCGTCCTAAACACTTTCCTAGGCGAGAGACTGTGAAATTTTGCCGTTCGAGCCGTTTGCCGTTTTGGGATTCAGCCTATATACTACCCTCATATATTGAATTCAATATTTTCATTTGCTCCGAGATTTGATTTTGTTGTTTTTGTTGTTATTTTTTACTGGATATGAATGGGAATACCGAGTAGTAGTAGTAGTAGCAGTACTAGTAGGAGTAATATACTAACCGTGGTAGAAGCACTGGAGCTGCGGTGTTGTTTAATGGTGGGACTACTGTGAGTGGGTTGAGCGTCAAAATTCAACGGTCGACCAACGGCACTCGTGTGATGCGTTGATGGTTCTATATCCACATTGCAGTGGGCCTCGAGGTGACTCTGGGCACGCCTTTCCTCGAGTACTATTCTTCGTGCCGCGCAAAAAATTTTATAATAGACCTTGGAAGAAAAACAGAGAAAGAAAATTGACGGTAGGTTTTCATATCAATGAAACCCTAAATCCTTCTCTAATTCAAGGTTTTAGCAAATGACAATTGAATTAATGAGGGCGTACCTCAATCATGACGATTAGTGGTATGTAGAAACTGCCAAGAGTTGCATAAATCTGATATCCAAAGTTTTGACAGACGTCGCAATGCCAAGCACCCATCTCGAACTTATGTTCGTTGCCGAGAATAAGAAGAGGTGGAAGACTAATACAAGCTGCAAGGAGCCAGACGAGAGTAACGCAGAGTATCATACGTCGTGGGGTTCGTTTCACACCGTACTTCAGTGGTTTTGTGATGGCCCAGTATCTAGACATAATATTTTTCCCATTTGTTCTTCAGATGGAAAATAATAAAAATAAAAATCGCTCATTGGTACACCCAAATAGAAAAAATTGTTCACTCGATGAGGAGAGTTTCAAGTTATTTTCATGCATCATCAGATACAAGCGACGATGTCCATTTTCTCAACAAACAAATTCTCCTTAGATTAACGTCGTCCTATACATATACATTTTTTTATCTCTCATATTTATTTATTACACAAGCTTGTCTCCCTCAGTTTTATGAATAACATTCACTAGAATACTCTTCGTGCTATAGCATTAACAAGTTTTCATTTCTCGCACGTAGAGACATAGGGCCATTAATATGTTGCCTCACTTGGGTACTTCGTTACCGTGTACGAATTACATCAACGTCTCCTGTGACAATGTTATTACTGTCATGACGCGTGTCTCGTCTTCAACACTGATATGACTCGGTATGCTTGTACCATATACTGCAATAAATGCCCGTAATGCGTTTACTTGGCGTTATAGTGCAATTGAAAAAAAAAAAAAAA